ATCAGCAAGCTACTGCCTCACTTTGTTCACCGGTATATTTCATGATCTGCTTGGCTGCAGGACTAAACATGGGGCCTGAAATTACACACATTGTCCTAAGCATTTTCCTGTATCCCTCAACGAGGACTGGGCTAAGGTAGAAATAAGTCTGCCAAATTTATTTATTTTTTGCTTCCAAGGTGCCACACTACTTTGTTTTGTTCGCAGTCATAGTTTCCGGTCTTTCAATATTCTTTGGAGAGTCCCAAGTACTAAAACCCTGGTGATAGCAGTCCTTTAAGAGGGTCAAGAACCCACTAATGATCATGTATCTCATCACATGAAAGGTGACTTTATCAAGGTGTGAAAAAGGGTGTGTCATTATCAGCAGAGGTTTCAGGTGAAACCATTGTGAGACCTTGCCTCACCCTATTATGTTACCTATTGAGATCAGCTAACGTGAGATGTTGGTGGGCTTTAAGGTGCCTGTGAAGAGACTTCAAGAAACTCTGAGTGTTGTTAGCTGAAAGCTCAGCATTTGCGGCTTGGCTTGTCCAAAGAAATTTTTGGTTGTTACTCCAATTCAGCGGTCCCAAATACATAATTAAACTGTCAAGCTGAATCATGAAAAATGCCAGTGTGATGGACATAACTAGAATTTTTTTTTACCAACAAGGTGATTCCCACAGAGCTATTAGCTGCAAATTTGGCACGTCTTAGCATTGTGTGCCAGGTATCCTTAAAAAAAAGGGAAGAAACTGAACAAATGGAGGACAAAAGAAGTGGAAGACCTAAAACACTATCTCCAGGTTAACAGGACATAAAAGTCATGTTCTCAAGAAAGAGGAAAAAAATCTAGCAAAGACCTGACACAGGAAATGACAGATGCATGTAGCACTTCAATTGATCCACTCTATTGGTTCACTGAAGGCTCATAAAACTACAATAAACAATAAAACTTACCAAAGATGCACTTGCAGAGCACTGTCTCTTTAAATGCTCTTTTTTGCTTGGTCTGGTCCTTATTTTTTCTCCCAGTCCAGTTAAGTCCAGAGGCCAGCTCATTTGTAATGGCATAGGCTAGTATACGACGGACTCGCACCTCCAGTGTGGTCCCTCCAATCAAAGAAAAGCGTCTCACCTATCAAAATATTTTCAAAAATTGAATTATTGTGACTTATGTTTTAAATGTGTATGAATATGCTTGTGAGTTGATATGAAATAATTGAAAGAGACAATGTTTTTTTTCCCCAATGCTTAATTTTCCAGAGATAATAGGAAATATTTTGGTTAATTCCTATTTGTTGGATCTTCCGATGATAGCATGTTGATGTATATTCAAGCAGGACATACAGCAGCAGGCAATTTTAAGAAGTTGAACCAAATTGGACAATTTATAAAGTTCTGAGTTACAAAAGTTACATAAGCTTTAAGTACCTACCATTGTTTTATTTGCTTCCGGTAACTGCAGAGTTGCCTCTGCATTGTTCAGCTCATCCATATTATGTAAAGGCAAATCCAGAGGCAAAACGCCAGCATCAACAGGTTCATTGCTGCAGGATTGACGGAAGGCTCTGAACTCCTCACGGAGGTCCCTGACTTCTCTGGTCAGCTCTGTCACCATAGTTAGCAGTTTTTGGAAGGCTGCATCTGTTAAGAAGAACAATAAAACTGGCTTGTGATAAACCAGATCAGCATTGTGATGAGAAAAAAAACAACTATATCCATAAGTTATGGCTTCACATTTTGATTTCAAGTTTAAGTAGTTCAATCAGGTCAAACTGTTTACAAGTTTATCCCTTTCGCATGTAGATGAAATCCTATGTAAAATTTCAAAGTACCACATTTTAGAATTTGCCTTTTAAAAGTTGACTCACAGAGTCTCTGGAATCTAAAAAATCAAAATAAGATGATATTTAATAACATAAATTTGTGTTTCGATGGTAAAATTACAATGAAATTGTGATGAAACTAATTTAATCAAAGCATACTTTCATTATTCAACGCAGACTCTATTTGCTGGGGAGGTTGTATAGTTGTGTAGGTTGGTGTGTTGGGCTGGAGCGGTGAAAGGAGCCGGTAGCTGGCCAGGGCATCGTGATGGTTGCTAGTAGTGGGTTGGGAGGCAGACTGCAAAGTGGTGGAGGCTGTTCAGAAAAATGTTTAAAAAATAAAAGCTTACATAAAATTTATCTACAAAGGTTCATTTCCTCACACACACTAAACATTACAATATACTATACCTGGGGGATTCGGTCATCTACAGAGGAATTTCCTATTTGAAGACTTTTTGTCAGGTTTCAGAGCCCATCACAGTACAGAGATGGCTTTAGTGAAGGTCTCAAATGATCTTCTTTCGTCCCTGACAGTGGACTCATGTCCTGCTACACCTTAGTGCAGCGTTCAATACTATTGGCCATAGTATTTTATTACAGTGATTAGAACATGCTGTAGTTATTTAACTTACTTAAACAGCTACAGCGCTTCAGTGTTTTGAATTCTATCTCTCTAATAGACTCCAATTTGTTCGTGTAACTGGAGAGTTCCACAGGGTTCTGTGCTACGGCCAATTCTGTTTACATGCTTCCTATAGGCAATATCATTAGAAGGCAAAGATGGCATAACGCACACCAATTTGTTAAACTGCAGGAATGTGTTAAAGACATGAAGACCTAGATGGCCTTGCATTTTCTGCTGCTCAGTTCATATAAAACTGAGGTTATTGTACTTGCTCCTTAAAAATCTTAGGAATTTGGTACCAAACCAGATTATTACTGTGGATGGTATTACCTTGCCCTCTAGTTGCACTGAGGAATCTTGAAGGTATTTTCAAAGCGTATATGTCCTTCAATGTGCATATTAATCAAATATTAGGGCTGGATTGCGTGACCCTTCATACTGCCTTAAGATATTCTGCAATATGCAGTTAGGCTACCGGGGGTTTCCATGATGCACGTTCTTTTTCACTCACTGTATTGTTGTGGAGTCTTTATCTTACAATATATACCACCTTGAGGCAACAGTTACTATGATTTGGCACTAAATAAATAAAACTGAATTCATTTGTTTTTTCTTGGTCGTTGTATGTATGCCATAGGGCCTCTATTGACTTAATTAAATTACATAGTATCAATTAAATATATCTTTAGACATTATTTATTAGTTTAATGATTTGAATTTGTTACAAAGTTTAATTTTCAGATAACTCCAAGTCTGCCAGAGTTTTTTTTAAGGGTAAAGAAAGTTATCATAGCAACTATCAACTAAAACACAGAAGCTGCAGATACTGTGATCACAAGTTTGTACTTTGAAGCTAAATTTGAGGCTGATCGAGTTAACTTCAAGTTCAAACCTGGGTTTTCAGTATTATGAAGGTCATTCACATACGCTGGTATGGTAACTTGTGGAACTAATCCAGGCCTACAGACCAATCCGTTCTTTGGTCTACAGATGGTAAGAGGGTTCCAAGTTGTGATCTCCCATAAAGTCTGCTACAGCTTATCCTTGTATTTTTACATGCTGTGTGAAATGTGCCATTTCAGCTGGCTACATAATTATAACCTTCATTTCCCAAATTCAATATGTAATAAGTTCTTAGTAACTAATAAATGGGTAAAGTACAATAAGCCCAAAAAACAGATTTTTATGAAGATGCAATTTTCTACATACAATTTTTTTTATAGCTGTGTGCCTCAAAATTACAAATGGAAAAATAAAATTGTCACAGAATCCTTTTGAAGCTCTCGAAATTTATTGCTAGTATGTTTATAGCTTCATTTTTGAGATGCAATCATTTTAAATGCATTAACAGCATTAAAAACTAAAACAAAATGTACATGTGAAACATTTGCAAAGTTACAATATATCAAAATAAACAATTTTCAACAGTAATCAAAGTTTTAAGTGTCAGGGAAACTTGTATACAGAGAAGCATGAAGTCAAATCTTAATTTTCAGTACCCTTTAAGGAGTTGTGATACAGCTTGTGACAGTTCCTGTCAACGATAACACACAGAGCCACTCTACATGCCTCACACATGAACGGAGTGCACTTCCGACACAGTTTGCACTTCCTTCGCCCCTTTGAGGCTTTATTATGGCCAGATGCCCCTTCAACAATGGCAACAGGGATGTGCTGATACCTCTCTGGGACCAATTGTAGGGGAACCTCACAGAGCTCAGTTATCAGCTGTTCCAGGAAGGCCTGGTGCTTCACAGGCTGCTCCTCCAGTCTGCCACACAGCTCCTTGCTGATTAAGTAGCTGTTTGTTACAGCAATGTCAATGAAATGATATAGCACCCTCACATACCACGCCCTGCTCTTTCTCCATGAGGAATAGTAGCCAATCAGCTGGTCTGACAGGTCAGCTCCCACCATAAAGCTGTTGTAGTCTTTCACAGCCGATGGCACCGGCACCTCGACTACTCTGCGTTTTCCACCAACCTTACACATCCTTTTCAGAGTGTCCCCTGAGAAGGCAGTGTGCATGGTGGAGCACACACTCACCTCCCTTGTGTCCATCCACTTGATGAAAATGAGGGCTCCCTCTCTGATCCACCTGACTGTCCCTCTTGGAGATTCTTTGGTCAAGGAATTATCTTTGGTTTTTGGGGTGCCGATTCTCGTGTCCCGAAATGTGCCGCATGCTCCGAACCCCAGGTCGTGAAGGTGGCGGAACAGGGCTGGGCTGGTATAAAACTTATCACAGTAAATGTGATATCCAGATCCCAGGCAGTTTTTGTTGATGAGAGACACCACTGCATCAAATGACAGGCCCCTCCCGGTTGCCAGAGTGGACTTCCTTGTATAAACCTTGAAGTCAAAAATGTACCCCGTGTTGTCAGACAACACAAAAAATTTTATCCACCTCTTTTTTTGCTTTATGTTTTTCTTTAGGGCAGTTTTGGCTTTGGTCGGTACCATGCGCTCATCCACAGAGAGGTTTTTCTGGGGATGGTACACCGCTTTGCAAGCTAACCGCAAACTGTCATACAGGGGGCGTATTCTGTGCAGGCAGTCATAATCATCGGTGCCTTTTTTGCGGTCGTTGAGTTCATCTTCAGCAGGGTCACTCATATGAATGTTCCAGGTGATGAGGAGGAACCGGGTTCTCGACATTACCTTGCTAGGATACGGCGCATAAAAGATGGAACTGACACGCCAAAAATTCCTGATATTTGGCAGCTTCAGAATCCACATGTACAGTGTCAGGCCAATGTAGCGATAGAGTTCAGCCTCTGTGAGCTCAGCCCATTTGAATTTTTTACCTGCAGCAATATTTTTTGCTGCATTTTTGTTTGTGTTTGCACACAGTGTTTTGACAGCGGCCCAGTTAAAATACATCTTGAAGAGCTTAGATGGAGATGGATTGGTCAGATACTCTGAAAGAGGTAGTTGGATACCTGGCGTTCTCGTGGGCAGGAAATGTGGCAGGGGGTGTGGCAAGTTGTCGGGGTCCTTTTCACTTTTCCAGGCAGCTGCATCACCAGAGAGTGGCTCTGACCTAGAGCGCTTGGCTTTGTTTGCTGAAGGCCAACTCCTCTGACTCCTTAATCTTCTTCTGCCTCCATCCAGAGTAGTGGCGGCTTCGGTTTCTTCTTCTTCTTCTTCCTCCTCATAATCATCATCACTTCACACAAAGAAGTTGCACAATGTTAGAAGAATTCACCATGAGAATAATATAATGATGTATATTTAATGCTGCATAGTTATTTTCTCTAACTCAGAAACAAACAATATTTCATAAATGTATACGTACGTGTCATAGTACGGATACATTTCTTCACTCAAGTCAGTTTCATCATCACTATCAGCAGAGTCCAGCCCAGAGGAGTGGACAGAAAACCCATCTTCGTCCGGCACTGTTACAGAGTCAGAATCTTCGTGTTTGAGGGGTCCATTTTCTTCTAGTTTGATAATATCGTGTGTGTGCGGACCTGTGGGAGAGTGCAAAAAGTCTGTGGTGAGTTTGGGCTGTATATTTCTAATGCTTTCTAAGGTCTGCTTGGGTCCCAATAATGTAAATTTTTGTCATAACACAATAAGCAGAAGGGGCCGTGCCTGCTGGCTCAATATTTTGTTAAAACTGTATAAGTGTAGTCAGTATATTTCACACACTGTTGTAAACAGTGAAAAAGCGTTCTCGGGTTAAGGTGAGCCTGACTATGAGCCTGGGCTCAACCAAGAGGTAAATGCACTATATATCCACTACATGATCCTACATCAATTATATTTTCCCTATTAAGATTGTTTTAAGTTTTATATACCTGTGCAGTGCAAGTCTTCCTCACGTTTCCAAATGTTATCCAGGACTCTGAACCGCTCTTTCCCGGTCCAGACGAAGATTTCTTCAGACTCCTGCTTCACTATAACCTTCGCTATTTCCTGACCGGTGCAGACTTCCTCCTGTTCCTCTTTAATCTGTGGTTCTGGACCATCCTCGCTCAGACCAAAGTTCCTCTCCTGGTTATGGACCTGCGGGTCATTCAGACTCTCCTCTTCCTCACACTTCATATTGCTGTAGGGGATCTTAAATGATAAGGGGACATAACAAGAAGGTTACTAATATGATGACAGATGTGAAGGCACATCTGAGCAAATATATTCTAGCAAGTCTGTACACTGTGAGCATGTTGCTCACAACTTTATTAGTGCCAAAAAAACCAAAAACCAAAACCCATCAATGTATTTTCACTTAAACAAGCAGCTGTTTTTATGTGCATTAAAGTTATATAAAAATTTAACAGTGCAAATGCAAATTCCTTGCTGACAGTTTCACCAAAAGGCATTTCCAGTGGAAATTAGCCGACATATCCTCAGCATAACCATGTATAATATCCACAAAACGCAAAAAGAGGTGATACAGACACAATACGGTAATATTATGTTCAAGTAAGACTGGGCGATATGACCCAAAATTCATATCTCGATATTCTTTAGCTGGATGGCGATATATATATCTCGATATTTTTTAAAGCCATAAAGTAAGAACAAAAAGAGAGTTCTTAGTCAAAACTGTGTCCCAAATCTCACACAGGCACTTTTATTAACATACAGCATAGATGTACAAGAAATAAATACTCAGAAATAAATTATCAGCATTTATTAAATAATAATGCTTAGTTTTCTGTCTTCAGTTATGTTGGAAGTGGTAGCAGAGCTGTACGTTTTAATTAGTTTCAAAAATCTCTCAGTCAGAACATGGTATGTCATGTTTAGGTGGAAACTAGCGAGCTAACTTCCAGTTAACTTGTAACTCCGTTAAATTTAATAACTTCTGTTTTCATGGTGTAACTTAATTGTTACACCCGGTAAAGCAGCAACGCTGATCATTTTATTAAAGATGAAAGAATTTAGACTGTTTTTAACTCTCAGTGTTCCTTTGACTTTGGGACCTGAAGGGGATGGAGTACCGCAATATGGATTTTATGCCATATCGCCCAGCCCTAAGAGAGCCAAACTTGCGGCTCAAGTAACATAGACTACATTGATATAAACGATATTGTCACATCTCATATAAAAATATATCGATATATTTTAAAACTCAATACATCGCCCATTGTGAAGCACAGTACGTATCACTCCACAAGGCTCCTGCCTACGATGCCGTAATGCTTCAACAATCCATCAAGCGGTGCGGGTTCATAGCTTAGCAAAGTTGTACTAAAACATTTGACACATTTTCGAGCGCCGTGTACCACATAAAATCGTTTCGAGGTCAGTAAACACAACCAGAATTCAGTTGCAGCTTCTTAACGTTGCCCAACATTATACCAGTATTACCGTGAATGGTATGATATGGCCCAGCCTTAGTCCCAGGTATTTAAAACCTAGTGGGAGCTGTCCATTAAGAGGATCGTTGACCCACTTTAGGGACTACTTAAGTGAGTCAATGATCATTGACAAGCCATGGTGTGAAAAAAAAAGGCTATGGGTCATTATCATAAGAGATTTTGTGTGAAAGCATTGGGAGACCCTGGCTCAGCCCATCATGTGCCTACTGAAATCACCTCACCGGTTTAGACATTTCTGCTCAAAGATAGTCGTTTACCCCACATACCCACATCACAATACAACCCCTTCACACATGTGTGTGACGCGCGCGCGCGCGCGCACGCACACACACACACACAAATGGCGAAATGTAAATTATGTAACTGGGTAAAAACAAATGTTTTTTTTTCTCTTTTTCTACGTTTTCAATTCCGTTGCGTGCTTTGTCTCCACACTACTTCCTGTTATTGGGGGAGCGCGGTGCGCACAGTCCCTTGGCCTTACAGATCTGCAGGTCCGCAGAGATCTGAGCAAAAGCAAATACTGAGCGAGGGGCTGTGTAAATGGATAAAAGCAAACACTGAAATACGTTTTTGCACGCAGCAGTGAATTTTGTTCGCTAAAAGTTAGCCTTTCTTCGCTCAAAAAAAGTTTATCCTCAAAATGCAACACTCGTGCTGGCAAATTCTTTTTACGTGCGCTCAGACGAGCGGCACAAAAATAACGCCATAGTAGACGGTGAGTAAATCTAAAAACATATCTTCGCTTTTCTTTAAAACTCCCGCCTTTGTGCTCAAGCGTTCTTTTTTTACCAGTGGTTGTCGTTCATAAGTCCTGCAGGGAAAGACGTAGGATACACGTTTCGTAGAGGATCTTTTAACGTGACAGTTTTACATACCTGTTATCTCAGATATCCAATAGTCTGCATTCACGGATGATTTCTTCATCGAGCTTTAGTAAGGTTTTAGATTTCATCGCCTGCTGCACCAAGTCTCTCCGTAAATTCTACTGCGCCGAACAGCGATAACACCGCGTCACTTCCGTTTGTCTTCTTCTTCTTCTTCTTCATTGTGTTTCCGGCAGGCTAGTCGGAAACTTGTACTAGCGCCCTCCCAATAATTCAACTTAAGCACTGTCTCATTTTACATCGCGGGTCTCATAAAGATAATGATGAGATAATGGGTTTCATGTCTTGTTAGTTGTTTCCCTCCGTGCTCTGTGCGCAGGCTGCCCCACTCACCCCAGCACTGTTAGTATGCAAATCAGAGCAGAGCAAAGTTATGCAGCCAATCTCTATCGTCACAATGTAACTGACAGTGAATTATTTTAATGTTTTAATTTTGTATTTGTTTTAAATATTTTTTTAATTTTTCCTTTAGTTGCGGGACTTTGTTTTAAACTTGGTGTAGCGGAAGTAACGCTCAACACGGACTGTGCCTAAAGTGGGTGGACCGCAGGTTTTGACTCTTGCCACCGCCTTGAAGCTGGACTCAGGTATATAAAGAACACATGTGAAAGTATTGTGGTTAAGCTAAATGCAATTTATCAACCTACCTTTAAGGTGAAGTGCAGCTGTGAAGAACGCTACGGCAGGCAATGATGTGCGTTTAATGTGACTCTGTTAATTTGAGTTTCCATGAAATGAATGTCTTATTTTATTCATACTTTATTTTGCAAATTTATTTGAGAATTAGGCCATTTAATTAAGATAGATTTTATGTTGTTGGTTGTAAAGATCTGGATGGAGATTTTTTTTTTATTCTGTATTTCTATTTTTCAGTTTTATTTTTCAAGACTTGATTTATTGCCTTTTTCTTTGTAACTTGGCCTACTTTTTAAAGTTTTGTTAATATTCACATTTCTCTCTGCCCCCTCGCCTGTCTAGAACCGGCTCAGATGGTGTTACTGATCTGACAGAAGTAAACAGTAAATCACAGTTTCATACTCCTAAAGAAACCAAGCAGTAACTTTCTGTGGATTTTGCAAAAACTTATTTGATACTCTTCTGCAGTAGAGTCCGAAGATAACATGATCCTGAGAATGAGTTTGTCTTCTATGCTTTGTAAGGACCTTGAGTATTAGAAAGGTGCCCACAAATAAAGTGCAATAATAAATTATTATTATTATTATTATTATTATTACTACTACTACTACTACAGAGTACTGTGTGAGAAATTATTCTTAAAATAGAGATAAAGACTAACCGATTGTCACCTCTGTAACATAAAACCACTGTCTTTGAGTAAGACCTGGCTTTTTCAATGTAATTGAGATCTCTGTATCACCCTTCAAATTAATGCAGGCTATTGGTTTGGTCTTCTGAGGTGAATAAATTCTAAAATATCAGCGAATTTATTTCATACTTCTATTCTTTTTTCTGATGATCAAAACCCCAATTTTGAATATGCACAGACTCTTTTCAATCCGTGTATCATTAATTCTTTAATTTTTCAATGGACAATGAAACCAGGTCTCGTAAAGCAGACAAATTGAATTTTAAAATTAAATTTGTTCCAGCAGCCCTTTTTTCCATTTCATATTTTTGATCCAAATCTAAAATTGAAATAATCAAAACAAATACTATTTCCTTTTGATAGGCAATTCAAAATCAAATAATATATATTTGTTCTTTGATTGTCAGTTTAAAAAAAAGAAAAGAGTGAGTGATCCACTGATTCAGTCACTGTTACAGTACTGTGCTCACGTTTTGAATCCAGCAGTTTACAGGGAGCATTTAATAGTGAATAATATTTAATATTTAAAACAAACTCAGATATGTTTAATCTTCCTGAAGTTTTTTTCCCCCAGATAGACTTTTTCTTTATTGTATGTGGATAAAAACCTGTTTGAATTTATTTGTGTTTATGTGAAGACATAACTATGCCATTTTCAAATTAAAAAAAACATTTCAATACGTAATTTGCATTTAATGCTAATGGTTCAAAGAATGTCAGGCTAAATGGTGGGCCCCCACACATTTTCACCTCACCAAATCTGACCTTCTTTGCAAAATGTTTGGACACACCTGTCTTAGAGATCACAGTTCAGAAAAAGAGTTGGTCTCAAAAAGATTTATTTAAGGTTTTATGTAAACTTTATAAACATAACTTTTAAGTGCATATTGAAATTTAAGCCTACATCACAACATATGAATTGATAATGACTCGATATTATTTGTCTTGTGTGTGTCAATTTACAGCTTCTACTCCTGTGTAGTAAAACCTCTTTATTGAATGACAGAGAAATCTAGGCTATTAAACAAAAGCAACAAGCCAAATAAAATTCATGCTTTATTTTGTTCAACAAAGCTTAGTTTAGTGAAAACGATTAAGAACTTCAATGTACAGCTGTTTTAAGCTGTTTTATATGTTTTTAGTATCACCTCTACAACTTAAAAGAATAACAAAAGTACAAATACAGACAAATGTAAAATTAGCCGGGCTTGTTTGTCCCAGTGATCACAGTGGCTATGATGTCAGAGGCTTGGCCCTGGTAGGGTCTCCCAGGCAAATTGTTCCTGTGTGAGGGGCCAGCGATGAGCGATTTAGGTGACCCCTTTGAAGCAAGGAAAAACAAGGGACCAGGTCACCCTGCCCAGGACATGGATACTGGTGCCTATCCCTATGCCAGGCCTAGGGAGGAGGCTTAAGAGAGAACACCTGGTGGGCACACCTTAACCCATGGGGCTCTTGCAGACTCCGCACCTGCAGAAAGCACTGTAGAGGGCGGGTGCAATGCATTTTGGGTCGCAGTGAAGGGCAGAGGCTCCAGGAGTTGTAACCCTGGCTCATGGTAGGAAAACTGAAGTTGACAAATAGAATGTCACCTCTCTGGTAGGACATAAATCTGAGCTAGTGCATGAGATTGAGAGGGACTGGATATAGACATAGTAAGGTTCACCTGAATGCATGGCTCAGGCTCTGGAGATGTTCCAGACTCTTCCAAACTCTAGATTCCCCATACACAGAAAGGCAACAGGCAGGGATGGGTATACTAATATCCCACCAAGTTCACTGTCTGTACAATAGGGTTTTCCCAGTGGACGAGTGTGTCTTTTCCCCTGCACCTTTGGGTCAGGGAACAGGTCCTGGTCCTGATTATAGGTGAATGACAGTTCAGAATATCCAGCTTTATTAAAGTCAGTAGGTGGGGTGCTGGAAAGTGACACATCTGGACAATTTATTTTCCTATTTTTAGACTTTAGTGTGCAATATCATGTAGACATGAACATTAGAGGGGTGTGATTTTTTTGTGATGTTTTGTCACTGGACTTTTGTGCCAACCACCATGTCTGAGCATAAGTTATTCGCATAAGTGCATGTGGTACTAGGACACCCCAGGTCAAAGGTCAAGGATAGATTTTGTCAATGTTTTATTGGTGGTCTTGGACACATGAGTGAATAGAGGAACAGAGCTGCCAACTGATCACCACCTGGTGGTGAGATGGATCAAGTAGCAGTTTTCTGAGGAAGCCTGGGCACATTGAGTCTGAGTGGACCATGTTCTGCACCTTCACTGTTGAGGCACCTGCACGGAGCTATGGCTGGGAGTTGCCTGTTATGGGGTGATCCCTGAACAGATGGTGAATAACCAAGATGAAGGGAGTTGTCAAACTGAAAGAGCTCCTGTGGTTATCCTGTGGGATTCCAAAGGAAACAGATTCCACTGGGCCAAGCAGAGTGTGGCTCTGGAAGAAGCTGAAACAAAATCTCTGGTGCAGGAGTCTGGTTAATCCATGAAACAAGACTTTTGATCTCCCTCAAAGAGATTCTGGCAAACTACCAAGTGACTCAGGAGGGCAAAGTGGTGCTGTACTCATATGGTGTATAGTATGGGTGGGGTGCTGCTGACTTGAACTGAGGAAACAAGAAATAGACAACCTGAAGGATTTTCTGAATCCCACTGACATGCTTTCTGTACATGAAGTAGAGTCTGGAAACTAGGGGGATGACTTGCCCGTAACTGGGGCTGAGGTCATTGAGGTAGTTAAACAACTCCTTGGTGGCAGGGCTGCTGGGGTGGATGAGATTCACCATGAGTTTCTCAACACTCTGAATGTTGTGGCACTTTCTTGGCTGACACACCTCTCTGCTTTTTCAATCTAAGGCTACAACTCTGACTGGAGTGGTAGCCTAAGAAGGGGGGACTGGAAGATGTGCTCCAATTACAGAGGCAACACATTATTCTGACTCCTGGAAAGATCTATGCCAGGGTACAAGAGAAATGACTGTGTTAATTGAACCACAGGTTCAGGTCCAGCCCTTTATCCTCATAGGAGCATGGGGTATCTGGCTTGTTGTCATCTGGTCTTTAAGTGATGACGTGATGAACCCTGCTTTTAGATCCTAACTGCTCCATGTTTATCAAGGCTGTTGTGTTTTTAACACGTTTTAAGGCTTTGTATCTTGTTCTATGTACACGACTTAAATAATAAAAATAATGTGGCATGCAGCCAATTGAGGTGGCTCAGACATCTGAATAGGATGCCTCCTGAGCTTTTCCTAGGTGAGGTGTTCCAACACAAAGGGGCCCAAGGGCAGACCCGGGCCACACTACAGAAATTATGTATTATCGCTAACCTAGAACCTAATGCCTTGGTGTCCCCCAAATGAGCTGAAGCAGGTTGTCAGGATGAGTGATGTCTATAATTCTCTGCCTAGACTGCGTGCCCTAACATTTGGCCCTGGAAAAGTGCCATAAAAGGGATGGATGGCTGTAAAATCAGTGTTTTCCTTATACAAAAAAAGGCTAACAATTGGAATAAACAATTCAGAGAGTAGAGTTAATTACTATTCTAGACATGATATATACCATATTGACCTAAAAATGGTATGAGCCCTTCCTTCAGGCTTTGAAGTGATTTGGTTCCTCATGAACATGTGCTCCACTATTAAACTGTTCCACCTAACAGCTTTCAAACATTATCTAAGAAGGAAGCTTTTAACCAACATGGATTTTCATGTGTCTTCTCAACTGTATCCTATAAGTGAATCTTTTCGCACAGGCGCTACAGAAGTATGGCTTTTCACCTGTGTGCGTTCTCATGTGAGTTTTCAAGTTTGTCCTATCACTGTATCTTTTACCACAGAGGTTACAGGAATATGGCTTCTCACCTGTGTGAATTCTCATGTGAGTTTTCAAGTTCGTCCTATCACTGTATCTTTTTCCACAGGTGCTACAGGAATATGGCTTCTCACCAGTATGGACTCTTATATGAGATTTCAAGTTCATCAGATCACTGAACCTTTTCCCGCATGTGCTACAACAATGTGGTTTCTCACCTGTGTGACTTCTCATGTGAGTTTTTAATGCAGACAGGTAACTAAATATTTTTCCACATATGCTACAAGAATATGGCTTCTCACCTGTGTGACTTCTCATGTGAGTTTTTAACGCAGACATGTAACTAAAAATTTTTCCACAAGTGCTACAAGAATGTGGCTTCTCACCTGTGTGGACTCTCTGGTGTTTTGTCAGTTTGTATTTATATTCAAAGGTTTTTCCACAAGTGTCACATTTTAAAGACTTTTTACTTGTGTCAGTTTCACACTGACTCTCTGACACAGGACAGCTGTCTGCTGTGTTACTGTTTCTGTGATGTCCTCTCTTCTCAGGCTTTGCATTTCTATTTGATCCTGAGTCTACATGCTCACTTTCATCCTCATCTCGACTTTCTGGTTCAGGAGAGTTGTAAGAAAGAAGCTGGTCACTGTTTGGTTCAGGTTCCTCATAAGTAGAAGTCACCATAAAGGTATCAGTCTCGACCTTCAGCACAAGCACCTGACTAGTGCAGAGTTCCTCTGGTTCCTCTTTAATCTGTGGAAGCTCTGGGTCCTCCTGGTCAAGACTCAAGTTGCCCCCCTGGTTAAAAACCTGCTGGTCATCCAGATCCTCCTCTTGCTTACAGACATGTTGTTGCAGGAAGTCTGAAGGGACAAACATAATAGAAAAAACGCATCTGATAAAAGATTATTTTCACTTTAAACATATGAAAATAATAAAACAACTCAAAATTTACATATAAACATTTCTGCCGTGTCAATAAATAAATAAATAAATAAAAATCAGTGACCAATATAACCACCCTTCTTTTCAATAGCTGTCATAACCCTTCACAATTCATGGAGTCTGTCAGCGTCTTAATCTGTTGATGACCAACCGCTTGTGCAGCAGCAACCACAGCATCCCAGACACTGTTCAGAGAGGTGTATTGTTTTCCCATCCTGTAAATCTCCCATTTAAGCAGGACCCACAGGCTCTCAATAGGCTTTAGGTCTGGTGAGGAAGGGGGCCACGTCATTATTTTTTCATCCTTAAGGCTAGCCATTCAGTGGAATACTTCGATGCATGCGATTGTCCTGCATAAAATTCATGGTCTTCTTGAAAGATGCAAATTTTTCCCGTACCACTGCTTGAAGAAAGTGCCTTCTAAAAAAAAAAAAAAAAAAATCTTTGGCAGTTAATTTGTGTGTTTTTGCCTCGATACATTTATTCCGATGCCGTTTGCTAATTGCAACAAAATGTTTGATGGTCCTGTGGTCACGCCCCAATATTTGAGCAATTTCAAAAGTGCTGCATCCCTCTGAAAGACCGTACACATTTTTTGAGTTTTAAGAGTCTTTTAAATTTCTCTTTTGGCCCATTTTGCCTGAGGAAGAGAAGCTGCCTAAAAATTATGCACATATTTCTATAAAGTGGTGACATCCTTAGACCACGCCTTCACTCATTACGCAAATAAACATCACCTGATATGCTTAAGTCCAATAAGCACTCAAGTTTATACAGCTCAAAGTTTAAAAATATGCATACAATTATGATATGGCCAAAATACGCTGTTCTAACAATGTTTGACTGCATTGTTCTGGACAGAGATCTTGGATGTTGTTCCGGGGAGCCACTCGCCTAGCTTGAAGGTCACTGCACAGAGTGCTTCCATTACCACTGAGACCAATGTTTCAGCTTCTCAAAGCTTCTCGTTCTCCTTCATCCTGATGTTGCTATCACTTAGTATTATCTACCTTTATTACTATGGCCATTGTCCTCTGCTTGTCCACCACTACTATACCAGTTGGTTAGGACTACTATGATTATATTTAGAAATATACATTTTTGTATTTGATTAAATAGATATAAAATAGCACTTGGTGAAAATTTTATATTTATTCCAAGAGCTGCAGAACCTAAAGTTTTACACTGTCAAGATGGAGGCATATGATCACATTACAGCACGCAGTGATCAAACCCATATTTTGTTCACCACATGAAAGAGCTGTTAAGCATTTATGCACACAGTGTGAATGCTCTCCAATCCAATCAGAACAATGTCATTTGTTTAGAAAGGCTGGACAAGTTTGTAAGTGATCCAATCAGAAGTAATCTTCTTGTGCAGTGACGTTAGATGTGCACATTTAATCTGCACCTGGTAGGTTCGGAGAGTGGGTTTAGCCAACTCCCATACCTCCAGTTTCTAATCAAAATGTGACGAAATCTCAACATTTAGGAAGCAGAGAAGAGTACATGCACAGAGACATTTCAGATATAATGTCAATGAAAATAAGATGCTTTGCAAACCATGTGGAGCAACACTCTTCAGTAAAAACCCAACAAACCACTTTATTGTTTAGTCAATTAAATCCACTTTAGATTTTGTCTATGAAAGTTTTATGATATTTAGTTAACTTAAACTAGACTAAAACAATTTAAATGTCTAAATTATGACCAAAACTGAATGATGTTTTACTTGAATAAAACTAACTCCAAAAAAAATAAAATAATTTTGAACAAAAATTCAAAAGTTAAAAGATGAATTAAACAAAAAATATTTATCTACGCAACATAATATTTTATTGTTTGTTATTAAAATATTTGAATCTTGTCCTATTTTCGCTGGAATTACATTTCCTATCCTTGGAGTTTTCAAGGCAGTAACAATGTTTTTACTATGTTTACTGACAGTGTTGGTCAAGTTACTTGAAAAAAAGTAGTCAGTAACTAATTACTGACTACTTCCCCAAAAAGTAATCCTGTTACTTTACTGATTACTTATTTTCAAAAGTAATTAATTACTTAGTTACTTTTTAAAAACATGATTTACAACCTGAATAGGTGATAAAGCGATAGATCTTTCAGCCCAATTCTACTTTTTCTGCATAATCCATCATACAAAATGTAATCAAAAGGAAAAGTCTCTTTTTAAAACTTGTTTTATTAGTTTTAATCTTTTAACTTTATGCATCAAGCAAAATTTAAATTATATTCAACATTATCTGACTGGAAAAAAATTGTTTTAACATTTAAACCTATTTTCTGCACATTCCAGCACATAAAAATATAATATTTTTTGTGTTTGCACTGAGTCTTTCAAATAAATGCAAGTGGTGCAGGTGTGCCGCAGCGGTCAGTGGAAGAATCTGCGAGTTTCTCTGAATTTCCCATTACGTGGTAGTGTACTGGGTGCTTTCTTGGAAGTTTATGGGGTTTTTTCGCTGTAAAAAGAAGTTTTCTTCCCACGCAGTGCAAAGCGTATGCTAATGTTTTTGTCACTTTTTAGTAAGTAAGGTCAATACTTCCACGTTTCAAACGCTGCATGCTCATACTCTCTCCTGCACTCGATATATTATCCATTGTTGATCTGCACACAGCTGTTGCCACAAACGTCACACTCGCTTACGTCATTGTCATGAGACACTCTTGCAAAAAAATAAATAAATAAATCACGGTTATAGTAACGCAGTAACGCAGCGTGCTTACGGTAAAGTAACAGTAATCTAATTACCTTTTTTGCAATAGTAATCCCTTACTTGATTACTTGAAAAAGTAATCGGATTATAGTAACGTGTTATTGCCCATCTCTGTTTACTGAGCACAAACATCTAACTGGGAATAAATTAAGTTCCATTTTATGTTATTTTTTGGGTTGTACCATTATTTACATTCTCCAGATTGTTTCTTTCTAAACTTTTAGCAACATTTGTGGGTAAATATAAAGAATTTAAAAATGATTCAGCTTCAGTAAGCAAAGAATTGTATTCAGTTTGGACAAAATGCTGCATTAAAATCTAGTCTCACCTCTTCAGTCTAAGAATTTAAGTCAGTTTATCAGCTGACTGATAGAAAGTATAGAGTTAGCTTAGGAAAGGTATAATAATAGAGGTATAATGATACTTGCATTTGGCTCTTAAATTCATCCTTTACCTCTAAAAGTAAAAGTAATTTGGTGTCTCGTTTGGAATCCTACACGAGTCATATTTGTTTTTACTAAGAATATTACATGCCTTTGTCATGTTTTTCACATTTCCAGATTGTATCCAGTAGTCTGAGCCGCTCTTCCCCAGTCCAGACGATGATTCCTTCAGCCTCCTGCTTCACTACAAGCGAGTCTACATCCTGAGTGGTGGAGACTTCCTCCTGTTCCTCTTTAATCTGTGGGAGCTCTGGGCTCTGCTTGTTCAGACTGGAATTTCTCTCCTGGTTACAGACCTGCTGGTCATCCAGACCCTCCTCTTCCTCACACTTCATGTTGTTGTGGGAGGTCTTGAGGGACAAACGGACACAACAAAAAGGTTACTAATGAGATGACAGGGAAACACAAATGTGACAAATGTTTTGAGACAAAATATGAAAACGATAAATAAAGTGGAGGAATGATAAGATTGTTTTTTATAAATATTTGTGAGATACATCTTACAGGGTTTTTGTATTAACGAGTACTGCAACAGCAGTGAAAAGCTTTCAGCTGCAATATTCTCATTTGGATTTATCTTCACATTATTAGCTCAGTCAGTGTGCACAACTGAAAAGACAGTTCATTTAAGTTCTGCCATGTTTCATCAAATACCAGTATTACTGAGGAACAGCAAAATGTGCAGGTCCACTGTAAACACTTATGGTGAGGACTCTGTCAAGAGTAACATAATAGAGAAAGTTTTGGTGCTCTACTCAAAGCTTTGAGGCATCTACCCGTGCCAATTACACACTTTTTTTGACAACATATCCCATATCGCTTATGTGGTACATGTGGGTTCTCTCCGGGTACTCCAGCTTCCTCCCATATTTCAAAGGCATGCAGTTAGTGGGGTTAGGTTAATTGGTGACTGGTTGCCCATAGGCAAGAATCTGAGTAAGAATGGTTGTCTGTCTCTGTGTGTTAGCCCTGCATCAGGTTGGCGACCTGTCCAGGGTGTACCAAGCTTCCTGCACTACGACAGCTGAGATAGGTTCCAGACATAATCCCACTCTCCGATAACAGACATCAGTGCATTGATGTCTGTTGTGGTGATGAGAGAGCTGAGCGTAAAAGCAAAGCCATCAGTTTATGGTCCCACCCTCACCTACGCATCCATCTCCACATTAGTCGCTCATGAGCTCTGGGTAATGACACATCACATTACAGAGAATAACTTCCTCCCAGAGTAACAAAAACTGTAATTTAATGACATCCAGAATCCGTTTCTGACCTTGGTCAGACACCTGGGGCTGAAGCCATGCACATCTCCACAAACACATAAGAGATACACAACAGGTTACTGCTGTTATGTGGTTGTTTTTTCACCATCAGTGGTGTCATTTTTAGTAATATATTATTTTTATTGCTGTTATGACTACTGTCAAAATAAATTTCTCTTCAAATTCACATTGTAATATAAGATAGCATATCATAATAGGTATATAAGATATAATATAATCTATACAAATTTACATAAATGACATTGCATAAATTTATATTACATATTATAGTCTAAGGAGCTTGGAAAGAAAAGTGTCTGGACTTCTTTAAGTTGCTTGAAGACGTTTCACCTCTCATCCGAGAAGCTTCATCAGTTCTAGGGTCAAATGGTGGAGAGTTCCAGGTTTAAGCCCTGTGGGAGTGTCCCCCGAGAGGGACAAAAGGACCCCCTAAGATCCTCTACCTAATCACATAACATATTACATATTATACAACACATTGGGTAAATTCCCTGCTTATAGAGTCTAGGGGGAACCCAGCAAGTGCCATTAACTGGTCTAGACTGGTTGCTCTTAATGATCTGTTACTCTATATTTTTCACATGTTTGTACAGGATATTGTATTTGATTTAATTGTTATGTGCTTATGTGGTACATGTTTTTTGAGTTTTGCTGCCATGATGCCAGGACTCTCTTTGAAATTAGATTTTTTACCTGGATAAATAAAGGACTATTAAATATAAGTATAGATGTATACATATACAGCATTCTAATTTATTGAATACATAACAGAAACATTGCTGAAATGGCGAATATTGAACCCCCTGTTAACCTCGTTTATAAGAACCCAGCTGCGGGTTTTGTAGTCCATCTCTTGCACAGTCTGGAGTCACTGCAGCTCTCTGAACTGTGCTTCTCTTTTAAAGTGCTTATTAATTCTCATTCACACCTTTAATCGGCCTCGTTACGCTTTCCTTCAAGGTCGAGGAAAAGTAGCTAGAATAAGGAGACATAATAGGAGGTATTTCAGGACTATCTGGACCTGCCCCACTTTCTCTGTACGTATCTTTGATTTAAACGTGTAAAGCCGCCTTTTTACTAGTCACGCCCCTCCCGTGTCTCACTGAACTTCGGGCTGAAAGGTTTTCATTAAAAAGAGAGCGAGAGAAACTTGTGTTATTCCTATTATACACAGCTCGTAGCTCCTTGCTGGTTTGAGATCTGAGCCTGCAAACTGAGCTCTGATCAGGGTCCTACAGGAGTCGTATTCCCGCGTTAGCTCATTGACGCCGTTTTACACACCTGTGTGACTTTATCTCGGATATCCAACAGTCTGCTGATCTCTTCACTGATGTCTTTTCAATTTCCGAGATTTCTTCGGCTGCAGTTCGTCTCTCCTTAAACTCTCGGACACTGAAGACGCTGCTAAATAGTAAGAGTCGCGTCACTTCCGCTTTCCTTCTTCTATTGCATTTACAGCAGACTAGACCCATCAAAGGTGTGTTGCTGCCCTCCCTACACAAAAAAGTCCTGCATTTTTGTGCTTCAAAGCTCTTTTCGACAGCAACCTTTTTTCACGGCAGCATATAGAATAAATCCAATAAAAAGGATATATAGAACATAGGACGTACTAAATTGACTTTTGCTACGGTGTTTGAGTGTAATTATGACTAAAAAAAATGCATATTTGCCTTTCTGCTGCATATTTTAGTAGAAATGTTTATATGTTATGTTTTATGACACAGTGCACTTTATTATAATGTAACCTTTATTATAAAGGACTTGTCCTAAATACATGGCAAATTGTCAAATGTATGGACAAACTAAGGTGCAATGCTTTACCTTCCTCTCCATCCCTGTTAGCAGGATGAAGGCAACCTCTTGTGTTGTGCATTCTTGGTTTTCAAATTTCAGTTGTTAACCTCAGTGTAAAAACTTCACTGTGCCTTCGGCAGCTTCAACATCATCAGTAAAGAGAGATTTAAATATGTGTAATATCACACTGTGTCAATTTGTTCACCGGAGTCACAACCTGTAACACTGATGCTGCGTTAAGGGACCATGGGAAAGATGGGAGAGACAAGTGTCCTCTACAAAAGCCCTAAAACCCTTCACTGATGAAAACTGTGGATTAACTTCAACCCAGAAAGTTCAGGAAATCAAAAATCAACTTTAGGTGTCAAATGAATAAATGTGGAAAGCCATTAACTCTCCTGGGGTTTGAGCTTTGATGCAGCTTTAGTGTAAGCCATGGATTTACTGGTCAATCTATGGTTCCACCCTCACCTAAGGTCATGAGCTCTGTGTAGTGACTGAAAGAATGGGATCACAGATACAAGCAGTGTAAATGACTTTTCTCCAAAGGGTGGCTAGTTTCTTCCATAGTGATAAGGTGAGGAGTTTGATCATGTGGTGAGAACTAGTACAGTTGTAAATAAAATACTACATTTTTAATTGGAAATCAAAAAGCTCACTATGCATAAATGACTATATTAATTTTCATTGAGAACACATCATATTAGAGAGAATAACTTCCTTCCGGACAATAAACTGTAACCTGACGTTCTGGTCACGTCTATCGCGTTCGGTGTGGACGTCTATTGGGAAATCTGAAATCGGAGCCTCTTTCACAGAGTTCTGCCGGAGGTTTCTTCCTGTTAAAAGAGAGTTTTTCCTTCCCACTGTCGCCAAAGTGCTTGCTCATAGGGGGTCATATGATTGTTGGGTTTTTCTCTGTATCTACTGTACAATATAAAGTGCCTTGAGGTGACTTTTGTTGTAATTTGGCGCTATATAAATGAAATTGAATTGAATCCAGTATTCCCTGTTATAACCTTTCTCTTCAGTCTGCTGAGTATCTTTGTCAACAGCAGCTGAGTGTGAGAATGGATTATGCACTCTGATAACAAGTGCAGCAACATTTTGCAATGCTCACAAAGTTTCTCCCTAAAGATTTTCACTTAAATGAAAAGTCTTTCCCTTTTGACAATCTCTGAATCGAGGAGGGGGGCCTGAGGGTACATCTTTCGCCATCTTGCAATGCTGTGATTGCAGCCATTCCCCAACTCTCTGTGAATGGTACTCATGGCCATTGATCAGTGGGCTTTGATCAAGGGTTGGTGATCAATGGTCATGAGAATTTGCATAATTATGATGAAGGAACTGACCTCCCAGTCCGTTGTTCCTACAGTGGACTAGTTTCAGTCATTATGCAAATGTACTGTTTATAAGATTAGGAAAACCTGCAGTCAGCTGAGACTGAAGAAGTCAGTTGGATGAGCGACGAAATGTTTCTCCCACTGAAAACGATACGTCCAGATAAACAAAATCAACCTTTGAAGATTTACCTAAGTGGATGTTTGAGAATACATCAAGACGTAAAAAGCTAATAAAATGGTAAAAAAAGGACTTCCTGCGGATACTTTTTGTCCTTACTCGTCTGCAGCTCCGTCAGCATGTGTAAAATGCTCTTGTTTCAGTTGCTCTAATTTTAGTTTCTGCTAAAGAGGGGATCATGTTCAGCTCAGCTTGTTTGATTTTATTTCAAACTGATACTGAAGTGTGTACTTAAATCGATAGAAAGCAGAGTTTCACTGGTCTGGTCCACTCAAGATTAAAATTTGGTTTATGTTATTGACGACGTAAAATGAGTTTGAGATCTCTGTCATTCACTATTCCTTTAAGTCAGTGCTCAATTTGAATCATTAGGGGGCGCTAGTACGCCTTTCAGTCCAATCTGCCAGAAAAGCAATAGAAGAAGAAAAAAAACGGATGTGACGCGATGTTTTGGCTGTTCGGTGCAGTATGAGAGTTAAAGGAGAGAGTTGGTACTGCAGGCGAAGAAATCTCAAATATTAATAAGCTATGATTGAGGAGGACCAGCTGTGAGCGCATACTGCTGGATATCCGAAATAAACAGGTATGTAAACACGATGGACTACAAAACGTGCGTCTTACTTCAATAATATTTGACACAATACTAGACGTGCAACAGGAAGTAGTGTGAAGGCAAAGCACGGAAACGGAAAAGAAAAGGGAAAAAAGAACATTTGTGCACAGTTACATAATTTACATTTCACCATTAAAGTGTGTGTGTTTACACACACTTAAAGTGTTCAGTGTATTGCAGGGATAGGCAACTCCAGGCCTCGAGTGCCGGTGTCCTGGAGGTTTTAGATGTGTCCATGGTACATCACAGCTGATTTCAAGGGCTAAATGACTCCTCAGCATTTCTTGGAGTTCTCCAGAGGTCTGGTAATGAACTAATCATTTGATTCAGGTGTGTTAACCCAGGGTGGGATCTAAAACCTGCAGGACACCGGCACTCGAGGCCTGGAGTTGCCTACCCTTGGTGTATTGTATGCACTCTAAACGACCATCTTTGAACAGGTGATTTCAAGTCACATGATAAGCTGAGGCAGGGTGTCACAATGGTTTGACACAAAATCTCTTATGATATTGACCCTCTTTTCACACCTTTGTTGTGTGATGAGAGACATAATCATCTTAAGGGGCAACTCCCACCAGGTTTTAAATTCATGGAACTGTCCACCATTTGGCTTTAGAATTAAAAAAAAAAAGTGAATCGGATAGGAGGTGAAACATGCAATCTAGCTACTTTCTTTCCAAGCGCCTTAGACGACTGTTACCTGAATGACTGAATGATATATTGTTAAGAGTTTTTCTTCCCCACTGTTGCCAAAGTGGTTGCTTAACATTTGATTGTTGGTGTGTTCTTTGTATTATTGTAGGGTCTTTATCTTACAATAAAAAGTGCCTTTAGGCAACTGTTGTTGTGGTTTGGTGGTATATGAATAAAACTGAATTTAATTAAAAATTAAATTGATTTGAATTGAACGGCAACAATTAAAGAAGAAAGGGAGTATAAATAAAGGCAAGCAGCTAAACAATAAGAATGGAATAGACAATTAAAATTTATCAATAAAAAAGACGGCTATGGGACAGGAGCTTGGTACATGTTTGTCATGATTTTAGAGAGCAGCGATGGCGCAGAATAATCCTCATGGTGGTTCACTGGGGGTGAATACTGGCCGGGTTAGCAGTTTTTCTGTGCTAAGAGCAGCAACTTGTATACTTTTTCTGTGTTGGTGGAGGTGTGCGTGTCTTCAGCCCTGGGTGTCTGAACCAAACCAAGATAGGTCAGAAATGTGTTCCAAATGTTATTAAATAATGGTACATTGATTCTATGGAATTGGCGAGAGAAAATGAAAATATTGCAGAACTAAATCTCGTCAAAAAGCACTAGTTAATTCAAACACATGAAGTGACCCACTACCCCCCCACAACTAAAGAAATGAAGAGAGGAGGGAAATCCTTCAGACACAAAGGACCATGATCTTTTTAT